TAACTGTGGCTCTGGGTGACAGAAGCGTCGGGAGGCCACTAGTGCATCACACGACCCTAATGGAACAAGCGGACAGATATATGAGGGGATGCAGCTTTTACAGCGTACCAGAAACCTACCTGTAAGTGCGAGCTGTGCTGCGCAAGATGCAATTTTTCGGTGTGGGGAGGATAACAGTGCAATGCGTTGACCTAGTAAAAAAAAAAAAGCAAAGGAATAAGTACAAGCGTTGTTTTGCAGCATACTTATAGCTTTCCTGTAGCTTGGGGTGACAGAAGCTTCGGGTGGTCACCTCTGCATCACAAGACCCTAACGGAACAAGTGACCATGGTCGTAGCAAAGACGGCTCGGGTAAGAAAGGACTTCCCACTAAATGATTACAGTGGTGACAACCTTTACTGTCATAGCCAGAGGTGATCGAGCAGCCATATGAACACGGCACTGAATGTCTTCGTCAAGTACAACTACAAACTGATGGTCACCACTGTACTCGACTAATGATCAGGGTGTCACAGTCGTCTTGAAGTAGTCTGGCATATGCTTTTATAAACAGGTACGTCAGGTCGTTCTGAAACATGTCAAACAATTCTCTGGAACAGCGTGTCGCATGCACAATTGGGCAGCCACAACTTCTCAATAAGTGGGGAAACTGCAGCTCTTTGACATGGTCGCAGAGGTGGAAGAGCGATGAGCGGCCTTCCACATCTACGCGCCGGTAGTTCATAGAAGCAAATGTTTTCAGTCACGCCAGGGAGATGAGATGATTTCTGCTGTTAGTCCACTCGTTTGCAGCGTTGCTGACATTGATGTGGTGCTCCGATGCCCCAGAGTCACTCCTTTATAAGTAGACGTTGGGTACCGACATGAATTGCTTGATAGACATTTAACAGGAAGTCGCCTATGCCTTAAAGAGCCCTTTTAAGACGCCATAATATGCAGTTCCATCTAGCAGCTTGAGCGGTTCACTCATGTTCTCGTCGCTTTGTCTTCTTGTCGCTCAACAAATGGTTCCCTTTCCTACCAGTAAGCCATTGGCTTCAGCATCAGACCACTTACTGACTTGCTGTGGATTGGGGGCACCATATGATTCTCTGCCAAAACATAACCGTGCTCATTCATTTTCTGGAAATCATGTCCAGCCCAGACTGCGTTCACTGGTTGAAGAATCAATTTCCTTCCTAAAAACACAACTACAACAAAAAACCGTTTATGCAAGTCACTAATATGAAATATACAAGATGTAGCCACAAAGTTAATATTCTCTACGGTGCTACTTCCGCTCCCAAACTGCATCTTTAGGGAAGAGGCTTCTGAGAAACATATAAAATAATTTGACTTTCGTCCATGTATATCACAAATGTGAGAGTGACTTTGTCGAGATAATTAGTGACCGAAATAATAAAAGAACCCGGAAGTGCAGACGGCACTCCCGCCTGGAAGTGCCGTCTGCACTTCCAGGCGGAAGTGCCGTCTGCACCGCACCGTTGGCCACGATTTGGTGTCTACGACATTCGACGACGTCTGCACAACTGTGGCATACGTCTCCGCACGTAGTGTCCGTAGTGTGGACGAATCTCGGAGAGAGAAAAATCACAAACAGTGAGGCGACGACGGCAGTTCTGACGCGGGAGGCGGTGGTAACCGCGGCACCACGGCGGGCGGCCGGAAAAGGCGCTGCGCAGGAGCCTTACGCCAATCACGTGGACACCGCTGAGCACTAGGGATGCCGCGAACTTTTTTCGAATCGAAGTTTCGATGATCGAATCAAGCGGTTCGAAAGATTTCGATTTTTCGAATTGTCTATATCGTAAAATTCGACTGAGGTCGAATTTTCGAACTTGTTAAGCTAAGAAATTCGACGCTTTTCGAACCGTCGAACTTATTAAGCTAAAAACTTCGATCTTTTTCGAACTTTCGAACTTTTTGCGCTGCAAGCTTCGATGCTTGTCGAACTTTCGAACTTGACTGACCAAAAAATTCGATGAATATCGAACTTTCGAACTTATTTATCAAGAGAATTCGAAAAGTTTCGAACTTTCGAATTCTGAAAAGTCAGAAGTTCGACGAACTTCGAACTTTTAAGGTAAAAGTTCGACGTTCGTCGAACTTCGACAGACCGGCGGACGGTTTTATTTAATTTCAAGCAGTGGGGTACATTCGTAATTTTTTTTCTCGAACTTTTACACGCGGTGCTGCGTTCCTTACGAAAGACAATGTCGTTTATTTCAATGTTCTGGCGTGCTGAGGTTTATAGAAATAAATCCCCGAAGGGGCGTGGAAGGACGACGGGTTTTTGACGATTATCGTTTGTGCCAGATTTGAAGCACGCTGCAGCCGGAACTATTTATGGTAGATATGTTATACTTTTTTAAGAATGATCTACGTATAGCCTAGGTAAGTGCCGTCTTAAGATGTGATTATTGTTATTCAACGTGAGTTTGGAAGAAATGTCAAACATGTATCTTTATGCAATTATGACCTAAACTTGATATTTATTTTCGTCTAAGTTGTTTGAGGTATCGCACTTAAATTAACACCACAGACAGTACATATCATTGCCATCTGCACAATACAAAATAATATATTTATTGTTTTTTTTCACGTTAAGGAATAAATTAACTCATGGGAGAAGATTTCTAATAGTGTTCAAGTTCAGCATGTCATTAAAAGAAAACTTTTTTTTTTTTTTTTGCGCTTCACGTTTCTGGGACGTGTTTCTTGTAGCCTGTACACATTTTGGTAAAAGAAACTTGTTTCGAAGTTCTGAACCTCTGAATATGCAAGAATAGAACACTTCCGACGAATTCTTGATAGTTTTTTTTTCTCCTGCTTTTTATTCCCGCATTTATTCTTTTTTTTTTTTTGCTATCGGCACAGGTATTTAGGTCGAAAAGACAGCTTTGAACTTCCGAACCACTAAGCATGTGACGAGTAGTGCCTTCTGACAACGAGTTTCTAACAGTGACCATCTACGCAACCTTTTATGCAGTGAAGAGCGACAGTAGCTATACATATGCATAAATAATTTCAGATCAAAATAAGCTCGACCACACCCTCTTTCCCCGTATTGTTTTCTTTAACAGTCTGAAATACCTGCAAGAAGGAGAAACAGGCTGAAACCCCCCCCCCCCCCCCGCCCCCCCCCCCCCTCCCCCCGCTACCCTCTTTCCCCCTGTTTTTCCTCTTCCGACGCCACTTGTATGGTAGAACGCTCCTCGACCTCGAGTCGTGTCGGCTTTTGTGCTTTTTGCGAGGCGATTCCTCCGTCCCAGAAAATAAACCTCCAGGACAATTATAAACAATTATAACCGCTGGTGTAATCCGGATCGGATTACACCAGCGTGCAAGGGGTGGAGAGATAGTTTGCCAGGTCGCTTCAAGGTTTTTCTGAGCCTCAACCTCCTGCTCGCCCCTGACCGTTTCGAACTGGATGAGTCTCGTGAAACAGTGTGTTCGTGTAACCACTACTGCGTGATGCAGGTTAAAGACCCCCCCCCCCCCCCCCCCCCCCGCCCCCCGGGGCTGGCGGTCACAATTCTGCACTGGCAAATATTCTAGCACGTCCGGGACACTCGTCGTCTTATTTAATTGCCTGACCAACTTCGCAGAATCTAGATATCACACCCTAACTTTATTTTGTGAAAACCAGTGAGTCGTGAAAGCGTTATTTGAAACTGAAACTGGTGGAAAATCTTGGAAATCGGACTTCGAACTTTGAAAACTTAAATTAGAAAAAAATTCAAAATCTTCAGTTTTTTTTTTTTTTAAAATTTAGCGTTAAAAGAGAATCGAAACCTTCGAACTTTTCGAACTTTATGCAGAAAGAAATTCGAAATCTTCGAATTGTTCGAACTTCATGTCTATATAAATTCGAAGCGTTCGAAGTTTTCGAATTTTTTTTCCAAAGAATTTCGAAATCTTCGAATTTATCGAACCTGAAGGAAAAAAATATTCGAAATATTCGAATTCGAAATTTTAGAAACCGTGAAAGCTTCGAAATTTTCGAATTCGAAACTCTGCTGTGATCAAAAGTTGCGAATTTTTCGAATTCGAACCTCGGTCGGTGCGAAAATATCGAAATTTTTCGAAATCGAACCTCAGTTCGCTTCGCAAATATCGAAACCTTTCGAAATCGAACCTAGGGTGGTTCGCGACATCCCTACTGAGCACCGAGAGGAAACGTTGCCGACATCACCAGTTACGCTTGCCTGGAGAAGTAAAAACAAGTAAAAGAGGGCAATGGTGGCGACGTTTAGCTCAATGTTGGCTACGCTCACGCCGTAACCTCGACTGCGCTGTTGGGTGCGCCTCAATTCGTGTGCTCGAGTCAGCCCATTTTGGCAACTTGGTGTGTTGCAATGTTTGCTGACCGTTTAAGAAAAATCTAGGCAGAACTACTTTGTAATATTTGGCGTGTGGTCTTCCTAGATGATACTGAAGAGAACGCATTACTTTTTTCAAAAACAAAAATGAAGCGGAGTTGCCTTTTCTGGTCTAGTCGCCAAAGGTTAGGTGGCGCCATCTCGCAGTAGCTATATAAAGCAACTTTCATGTTTTGACTCGTCGCTAAAGGGTGGCGCTGTAATCGTATTTAGTTTCATCTCTGTGAACGCCAGTAATCTAGGTTTCAAAGGTGAGTTTCCTAACTGAGTGCTTTAGGGACGTTTTCTCGTGCGCTGGATTTGCCAGTGTTTTCTTTCACCCAGTCTCAGCTGAGACGCTGTTTCTAGCAAGCCGGCCCTAGAACAGTAAAATTATCCGGATAGTTGAGGGCCTATGTCAAGTCTTGCTTCTTCCGCTGTGTGGCCAAGAAGAAGGATATCTAAAATGGGAAATAAAATGGCAGGACGGCCTAATATTTATTGGGTTAGTAAATTTTCTAATGTTGCTTAATTTCAACCGGAATCAACAAAAAAAAAATATATATATATATATATATATTTTTTTTTTGCCTCAGGCGTGTTGGAATAAACATCAAAACCTCTTGCATTTTTTTACAGAAAATAACACCAGTGTTTTCTTCCGAGGAACTTCCGGAGCTTGACCTTATGGTCGTGGTAAGTAAAATAACAAAAAAAATGTTTTAAAATATATTTTCTATTCCTTTGTCCAAGCCCGCTTCATACAAAGCTTGTATAAGATGGGTTTACAAACCCCCCAGTATGGGACATAACCTTACTTTGTGGCCAATGATGATGAACTGAAATAGAAACGTCCCTTATATATCACTCCTCATTCTTTCATTTACAAACTAACCAGATTCACAAGGTCAATATTTAATGCCGTACATGACGATAGCTCACAAATTACTGTGGTTAACTTCGTTTGCACCGCTGCAACGTTGGCTGTAAAGCTTGCGTCGCACTTGAACTAGTTAAAGCAACTGCCTACACAAAACATGTCTTCCGTTGCCAATTTGTGACCCCAATTTAGTGTTTCGTTCTGCCACTTTTGAGGGGAACGCAAGGTACAGCTAGGAGACTGGATATGCGCCAATGGTTAATCTGCGGCCATGAACACTTTGAGAATTATCTAGAGAGAAAACATTGGAGTTTCTTTATTCGTTCACTCATGCAGTTTGTCTCATGCATTAATATTGTCTCTTATATGGGTGCCGAACAAAATTACATTATATACGATAAATAGTTTTTGTTAAATTTGTTTGAAATATGGGGGGGAAAACAACTTAAACCGACGGACGCACGTTTCTCTTGTGTCACTTAAAACGTTAGAACTTGCAAGAAACCAGAAGCCCCGCAAAACCACGACAGAGCAGTAAGTTTTATATTTTAAATAAACAAGAAATGAGATATATTTTGAGTCCATATAGTGTAGGGTGTTTGAAATACCGAGGCCCGATCTAAAATGCTCCTTAAAAATTGACGCCCCCAACGCCAAACGTTCCCCGCCACTCGACTCGGTCGTCTACGTCGCCGTCCGCCGTTGGCCTTGGCATGTTTTTTGGTCCTGTATTTTACAGAAAGGGAGCTACGCCTCGTGATTTTACAAGGGCAAACCACCTGTGAAATACACATTTGATGAAAGGTTAAAATTGCTAGGTGCCGGCGCCGATATCCGTGGAAAATATTAGCTCCAGCCTCGGCATATCACACCATATAATATATGCATGGATTTAGATTGCTTTGATTAGGCAAGCTTGCATCTATAAAAATATTGTCCTTCATAATTTCCAATCACACTATTTAAACTTAATCTAATTTTATGCTGCAAAAAAGATAAGCACAATTTAATATTTCTTTTATTTATTTTTGTTCTCTCAGTTGTGTTAACTTCACAAGACACACAATTATAGAGATGCCGAATTGTGGTATTTTACATTACAGAAAACAGATGAATACCTCGCGGAGCTTGCGCGAGAGAAAGCTTTGATGGAGTACTGTTATTGTATCAAACAGGTGAGTGAGTCTAATGCTGATCAGAAGAGCCTGCCCTAGATTTGAACCTATTTTACTCAGTCATGTAGCTGAGATTTGATGCTCGCCAGCGTCTTTCGTTACTTTGTAGCGCTCAGTCGTCTCAAGTTTTGTTGTTTCGTTAAGTAAGTCTTAGCAATGTCGTAGGTCTAAAATATTATTTGAAGGGAGCAATTTGTGAAAAAATTTGAATCTGCCATTTATAAGTTTCCGAGATTGCCTGTGTCGCTTGCACGGCTTGGCAGACGAACGCCAGTTGCTCGTGATTGTGTGTGTGTATATATGGCATGTTAAAAAAGCCAAGTTGTGGTGGCTATTTCCGCTTCAACGAGACCAACGTTACAACTCTGCCAACAACTCGAGTCCCAACAGCTGGCGTTTGTGAAGCTTTAGCCTAACTAAAGTTGTGCTGTTCAAGCGTACTGCATGAAAACACGCTAAGCTGAACAAATTAAAAACAAATATTCGTTTAAAGTTTTAGACAGTGTGATTTTCGTAGCTTCTAGTATGGTGGGGCTCGTTTTCCACTGTCGACGAAAAATTTAGCTAGTGCGGTTCGACTGCCAGGTTAGGAGATTCAAGCTGCTCCACGCAAAAGTTGCACATGGAATACACAATTGTGTTTTTGCAAAAGTGGAAACAATCTTACATATATTTGGGAGTTTATATTTGATCTAACTTATCTTGGGAAACTCATATTCAGTATATAACGAATAATGCTAACCATTCGTTGGGATTCATTAAACTAAACTTCTCACCAGTTCCCTTGTCTCTCAAGCTGCTTCTTTACAAAACGCTCGTGCGCTCTAAGCTGGAATATGCCTCTTCAATTGGGAACCCTAGCACTAACGTATTGATATCGGCTCTTGAAGCAATTCAGAACAGATCTATTCGTTTCATCCTTACTAATTATCACCGCACTTCCAGTGTAACATCGATGAAACTAAGTTTGAACCTACCTAACCTTGCATTACGTCGAAATCATAACAGTTTGTGTCTTTTCCACAAAGCTTATTACCATAATCCTCTGTTACGTGACAAGTTACTAACACCCCCTTGTACATATCATCACGTCTCGATCATCCACAGAAGATGGGCATTCCTCAATGTACCACTACAACTTTTTATAATTCATTTATACCTCAGACCACGGTCTTATGGAACCACCTTCCAGCGTCTGTGGCATCCATATCCGATTCCATCGCTTTTAGACAATGCCTTAAGAGTGTTAACTTTTAGCATTTCATTATTATATATTTTTTTCATTCTAGGGATTGTTGTTTGTTTTCTTTTGATGTCTCCTTGTAACCCACTCCCCTCTGCAGTGCCATCGGGCCCTGAGGGTATTTGGAATAAATAAAATAAAATAAATAAATAAATCAAACAGCCAGCCGAGCGAGCAACATTTTTTTTTTTTTTTTTCAGAAGTATATATATATTTTTTTAATTGTGAACACTTAAAGATGCCCTGTGTAGGTTTCTGAGATCGCCTAGATACGACAACAACTTATTCTGCTGGCTTTAAACATCACAGAAATCCCTATACTAAGACTAACACGGACGATTTTTTTTGTTAAAAAAGCGATCAAAAATTGCAAAACACCGAGGTCATCTACGGTGATGGGAGGAACGTGTCCCAAAACCGGGACCACTGTCAGTCTATAGCAAGCGAAGAATTATCTCGCCTCCGGACAGTGGAACCGCGGAGTGATATCTCGAATACGCTCTGCTCATTGTGCATATAGCCCGGATAACGATTCAACCTAGGGAGCGCGCGCTCGAGTACTAACGACCGGTCGGACTAGGGTTCCTTTACTGATCTCTATGTCTATTTGCTGGATCGCGTTTGACCAGCTCCGCCTATGGACCGAAATGCGGTCACTGGCGGCCATCTTTAGGTAGAGTTATATCATCTCTAGCCATCATAGTAATATGGCGGACAGCGCAGTGGCGGCCGGGTGCCATAAAATAGCCGTGGATCTAGTACACTGTACCGTGGGAGATAATTCGTGCTTGATTCAAGTTGTTCGACGACGCAGATTCTTGAAACCCGGCGTGAACGATAGCCTCATCCTTGAGGGCCCGGACAAAGTTCTACGAAAGCGCAGCACCGGGGGAAAGCAGCGCAGCTCGCATCGGAAGCAGACTCCGTAACGGCGTCTGCTTTCGATGCTTCCTTCGATGCGACTTTCGATGCGAGCTGTGCTGCTTTTCCCCCGGTGCTGCGATTTCGTGAAACTTTCACCGGGTCCTCAAAGATCGCGCTACCGTTCACGCTTGGTTTCAAAAACATGTTTCGTCAAACAATTTCAATCAAGCACGAAATATCATCCACCCTATTTTGACGGCAGCCTGCTACCACACCTGCCAAAACGCTGTCTGCCATGGATGGATTACAGTGGTTGCATGAGCTGTACCTTGGGTAGAGGTAATATAACTCTACCTAAAGATGGCCGCCAGTGACCGCATTCGCAGAGCGGGCAAACGCGATCCAGCAATTGTCATTGAGATCAGTGGGTTCCTTCATGTGCGCTTTGCATAGAGTGATGCCAAATGCCTGTTTCCCTTTCCCACACCCTATCAATCGCCATTTTGTTCCTCTCATTGTTTCCCCGTGCGTCGGAAAGTGGCCTTTGTGTCCATCGGTCGTCCCATCCGAGGGGGAAAATGCTAATCCTCCCTCCGTGGGTTCCACAACGCTGCTCCGAACTTGTGAGATAAGGTGCTTGTTTCTGGGAGGGTTATAAGCCCCACGGATTATCGCCGAGAACCAAAATGGCTGCTGGTTTGTCGGCGAGTGGTATTGCAAAGTGTGGCATCACCCTAGCAAAGCGCACATGAAGGCTCCCTAGGTCGGACCGGACACATCACCCCCACGAAAGAGAGAGAGAGAGAAAAAAAATAAGAAAAAAATAGTGCATTGTTTTTGAGACGATTATTGCAGTATTATGTTCCCTCACCGTGAAAAGTTAACATTTTTTTTAATACTCATATTTGCTTTTTTATTTATAGCGTCATACACATTTTGTCTAAAGAGCATTCACAATCTCAACGAAATGTCGCGTTTTCCTTGGTCACGTGTCGTCTTGGCTGCCTGAACAATCCTCCCATCGCCGGAGATGACCTAGGTGTGTTCGAGCTTTGATTGGTTCCTTAATAGAGAAACCGGCTGCGCATAATTAGAATTTATGATTTTCTAGGATACTTAGAGATTGCAGGGTGAGTTACCGCCATATTTAGCCGACCTCTAAAACCTCCTCGGGGCACCTTTAACACTAGGTGTGTTAAAGCCTCAGAGCTTTGTGGCACAGAGCCCAACCGTTAATCTGTATTCTTGTGTAGAAGTGTCGGTGTTTCGTCTTTGCTTTGGGGTGGTTGTCATTAAGCAAGTATGCTACATCATTATGTTGTTATAAAAATACATCTAGTAAAAGAGAGAAGATATGAAAATGGTGACGCGAAAAATTCGACATTTTATTGCGGGCCGACACGCTGTTTTGAGCCGTAAGGCGTAGTTATCTTATTTCTCTAATGCCACCAAAGTGAGCATCGTGACGATTGTTCCTAAACCCACCTGATATTTTCTTCTAACGTAACGACAACACACGTGTGGCGAAGCACTCTTATCGAAACCAAAATAACGTTTTCTATGCAATTTTGTAGCGTTGCACAGTCATTCGCTCTCTAAAACGTGCACAATCATAAACTTGTCGCTTAAAAAAAATGTAATGAATTTAATTGATCTTTCGTCCTTTACACGTGTAGTACAAAATGGCAATTATATACTGGACACGCGGGTAGGGGAGTGGCTTGTGATTGCAGTTATCACTGCACATAAGGTGAGGCCGGTTAAAACTTACACGCGCCTTAAAATTATGTGCGCATGCGTAGCTGTCAAACTGAGTGCGGTTACACACCGGGTGAAGTGATTTAAATGTAGAGAAACAGCCATTATAGTCAAGCCTTGAAGCCGCCGACCAGGCACAGAAAGGGTAGTAACAGAGTACAATAATCGTTAGATAAATGTTTTTTTCTTCAGAAGTTAGAATTAATTTACACTTAACAAAACATTTCTCGTGGTTCCACCCAACGAAAGAGGGTTTCGTGTGCCGCTTACAGCTGCTCATAATTGCTGCCAATATTTCCTTTTGCCCTTTATGTACACATTTTATTATGCTGTTGTACAAGTATATCTTAGTGACACGCCACAGTTCTAAAACTTCTTAGCAAACAAATAAGATAAAATAACACGCTGAAAATAAAGAAGCGCATAGAATTCATTTAGGAACATTTCTGTAAAATGATGGGTCTGGAGAGGTTCTTCTTATGAGACGTTTTCTTACCTAGGTTGCGTCAAATCAAATATAGTGTTTTTTTATTTATAGAGGTAAATTTGCAACGCGATTTGATGATGAACTGACATTTGCGGCATGCCGATGAACGTGAATGGAAAGTGCCTTTACATAATTACAGAGTATCGTGGTGGCTGCTATTCCATGCGTGCAAGCACGGGAAACACGGGTGTGAAGGTAGCTTCGGCAGGCTTGAATTTTTAATTGCTCACTTACACCAGCAGAGACATGGCGGGGGCCAGGGTCTGCGCGCGTGTGACCCTGCATACACATCTAAAAATAATATTGAAACGCATATCTTTACTTCGCAGGTATTCCTGTCTGATGGAACATTAATTTCACCTGAGGAACTCAAGCAGAAGGAAAAGAACATGCGGAAAAAGGTCCTGGAATCATTCGACAATGCAGCACGTCTGAAGCTCAATGAATGCAAAGAGAAAGAACGGGAAACTTTGACCAAGGTGCTGTATTTTATGCACCTCATGTTGTTTTAAAAAATTCAATGCCACTTAATAATTTTTACTAGTCTCATGGCTGCGCACCGTCTGTTTCAAGAGTCGCGCAAATAAGCATTTATGAGCGAAGGCGCAACAATCATAAAAAGAGATTTACGAATTGGCACAAGAGCAAGATGTACAAGAGACATCTACTGGGCGTTTTCAAATAATATCGAACAACCATGTCCGGTAACCATTTTTAATTTTGATTGAAAAAATATTTTGCTGGCTCCATGCCCAGAAGAATAAAACCAATCCTTGTATCAAAAAGATTGTCTTTGCAAAAAAAATTGTTAGCACCCTCTCAGTCACGTGCGTATTTCGCGCATCGCGCGATGTTAGCATTTCGGGCGGCTTCCCCCAAACAAACGGTTATGGCTACGAGTCTAGAAATATTTACTGACAAATTAGGCATAGGAATGATTGACAAAAAGTACTAATCACCTAGTAGTAAGGATGCTGTTTTAAGAAAAAAAAATCGCAAACACGACACATTGTGCCATCACGCTCTGGATTAAAGATTTTTTTTTTTTCATTACCTATAAACGTTAAGGTCTTCAAACATTGCCAGTGTGTTTCCCTGTATATAGTCTATATTTTTACGAAATATTGTTTTCCTGGTTAGCGGGAGAAATTTACAAGAATTGCTCATACAACGGCACTTAATTAAATATGCATTATTTTGAAAATCATTTGAAAAAAGGTCATCTTTATTATTTTTGGAACTATCCGAAATTAACGTTCGTAATATGTAGCAACAGAATCTGCAAAAAACATAATACAATATTTGTGTGAATTTGAATTTATAAGACTACAAATATGGCCAAATTGATGCTCACGCGGTTGCCATGAATGGGGCGTGATCATACCCGTTCTTCACAATTTCCTTAGTAATAAAAAGAGTAAAAATCCTACGGGATGGTCAGGAAAAGATAAATTGACAGCACAGAGGTAAACGGCAGTTTTGAAGGTAAAATTCCTAATACATTTTTGTACAACCGACCCAAAAATGCCCATGGGCGGAAGCTATCGCGGTGCGGTACCCTGTAACGTGCTTCGCGGTGCCTGTTTCAACAGCCGGCGTGTAGCGTCTCCGTCTACGCGGTGTAAAAGAAGAAACCGGATCAACTTCAGAATCAAACCAGCCTACAACCTTGGCGGTAACGTGATATAGGAGGTAGGGCGCGGCAAAACCTGAACCTGCCCCACCTGTGAGCGCCAATAGATCAGCCACCGTGGAGGGCCCAGTGATGTGATTGCTGCGCCAATTGCGCCAAACTGCGCCAAGGGACTAACCCTGCTACATCCTGCTACATTTTTCCAAAATAAAAGTAATCTGCACCAAGCCTGCGCCAAAGGACCAATTTTGGTCGCTTTTCGAAACCGAAACTAAACTGAGTAAAATAATTGAGCATGCGTGAGCTAGGTGGCGCAAGCAGCCGCCCGACACAAAGTACTCTGCATCAATGGTCCCTTCGGTCTTGCATGGTTTTTCCCGCCGTCTCTCGTTTCGCGGTCTCGTCGTCCCGTAGGTCTGGTTTCGCGTCTTTTCAAAACTTTCAACGATAGACGCGGGCATGTGTGGATGCTCCGACGGTAGTGTACCGGGTACCTGGCCAGTCATGCCGTCATACTGTGAAACGAAACCGCGTTTTTGCGCGGCGGGAGTTACATTGTGAGCTGAAGCACTTGCTCCTGAAAACAACGGCCGTTGGAAAACTATATTTTGTCTCTGCCTGCCAGTCACCGTGGTCGCGCAACGTCGGGCGTTGCCATCCCCACGTCGCTGCAGATGTGGCGCTTTCTAAACTAAGATGTAGGGACTGCCGCATGTTTGCCCCATGTTCATCGAAATTCCTGTGCATTTTTAAATCATACGCTACCACAAGAATCCCTCTTTAACTCAATTCGCTCTGTCGAAGTTTTGATTAGCTAGGTTTCTCTCCGTGTTTTTTTTTTTTTTTTTTTTTTTGGGGGGGGGGGGGGGGAGAGGGACCCCGGTACGTAAAAGTCTTCCACGGAAGAAAGTGGGTGGAGAGAAGTGAGCTAAAGCAAAGAAGGCAATGTATGCACGAAAAACCCGCACAGCGCACTTGTTTGTCTCGAGTTCAGTCGTTGCACAAAGCGCTCCAAAAGCTTTTTGACCCTGACTCGCGATGTCTTGCATCGATGCGCTCAGGTTCTGTATTTTTGTGTGTGTTTAGCATGTACCTTGTTTGCCCGCCTATCAAGCACGTGCCGCTGGACGTTTTTGTTGTATGCTGGACAGTTACATTTTGCATACAGTTTTGGGAACCAGTTGGCAACGGAGCGGAGTGGCATGGTTTCGGTCGTACAGCTATCTCCGCTCACGCGACGAAGCACGTGCAAGTGCAAGCCTGCTGAAGTTGCCCTCAGGTGCATGCGAATATGATTGCACGACAGAGGCACCAGCTGGGACGCTTACAATCCATTGTTTTACGTTTGCTTACTTTTGACGAAAATCTGGTACGTCGGGAACCAGTGAAACGGCGGCAAGCGATTTTTCGGAATCGCTCGGCAACGCCTACAGCATTGTACACTTATGGGATGTCTCAATGTCTCTTTGGAGACATTGAAAATTGACATTCATTTCTAGCCGAAGGCAAAGCAAGGCTTGGAGCAGCCTTTCAGAAAGTTCGAAAAGCGAAAAGAAAAGCACACGCTAAGACTCGTAATGCACCTTTGTCTTGTGTACAATTTCGCACTGCTCTGCAGTAGTTACGCGTTTCATCAGTCGGAAACTGCTTCCATTCATTATATTATATAACTCTACTGCTGTGATATTTACTACTAAGCTGATCACTTTCAAATAAATGTGTGCAGTTTCGTTTTTATTTATCTGTAGCGGGTACATATATATGTATAATTTAACTGAAGCACTGCAAAATGTGTTATGTCATTGGCATTTCAGTTGCACATTGAAAGACTCCCAGGTGGTCTAGCTTGACCATAATTTTCTTATTGCGGCGAGCAAAGTGCCCTTCGTTTGTCCAGCACTTAAAACAAATATTTTTATTTTTCTAACAATATCTGCTCCAAGAGTCACTTTTGCTGCTCCGAAACACTGTTTTGGCTGCTCCGAAAGGTGCTCCAAAACGGGTTAGGCCGATCACATCCCTGAGGGCCGCACAACGCGTAGAAAATAAAGATACTTAAATAAAGTAGAATTACGATTGACTGAGATCGTCTCTATGGGCGTTTTCAGGTAGGATCGTACGACAATGTTCGGTCGACATTTTTTATTTCTACCAAAGTAAATATTTTACTCGTTGTGCAACCGCAAAAAGATATTCGAACTATTTATTTTTATTTTACGACGTGCAAAATATGCGAAATTGCCGTAATCGGAGCAGAGAACGGTAGGACGTTGCCGATTTCAAACAAGGGCAAACAATGGGTAGAAAAATGTAGCAAGCCTGTCAGGAGAAAGCACTGTGACAGGAGTTCGTGAAAAATAAGAATTCATGCGAAAGATTAAAGGTGAGTTTGAAGCACAAGTCAAGCATTTTACTACAGATTCCTCGCATCAGTGAATTTCGGAGCGTACCATTCGTAGGGAGAATGGGCTGCTCACGACCAGGCTTAAATAGTGATAAGAAAGAACACATGTTTAAAGTGGTACGGTTGAAACGAGTCGAATGAATCAAGATCATGTGCGCACATTTGATGCTTGTCGCGTGCATCCTTTGTGCTAGGCGCTGACTTGAGTCGGTCACGCCGCTCTCCTGGCATTATGAGGAGGAACATTTTTTTACCATTTTGCCTGTAGCGATCACTGTTGGTTTCCTCTCAGTGGCACCGCAAGCTAGGCACCTCGATTTGCTTTACGCAGCAAGGGGAGACTTCACTTTGAAAGATATATCTTTTCTGCGTCTGCTGTTCTTGCTAAAACAGCTGTGGTTGCGAAGTGTCAGACCGCGTACACTGCCACAAGTGACAGGACTAAATTACACGCACAAAAGAAACAGAATCCCACTTCGTTGCTTTCATGTCCCTGAACGCTTTGACGTCAGCTTTCAGGAGGTGGATTAGTTTCACGTTCGGCAGCTTAGTGTTCAGTGGGGCAACCATCTCTGACGCTTACTTGATCACCGACGCGGTGTGCCGTCGGAGGTTGTACAACGTTGCCTGGTGCTTGACACGACCCGCGATTCTATCGGAGGCACTCTTGCCATGTTCAGTAGCAGAAAAAATAGACTTCGCTGACGTGTACTTGTTGGTCTGCAGCTCGTGTAGTTGGTACATGTTCTTAAGGTGGCTAGCCGCACGATCACTGACGTAGGTCACATGAGGATATCCAAATTGGATTTCACGATTCCCCAGACGGTTGTCATATAAATTAAGTTACAGAAAATCTCATTCAGTCGCAAATTACATATTTTTTCAACATATTTTTTTTTCTTTTTGCGTTGTGCTATCTTTCACGGCGGCGGATCTATTGGCGCTCACAAGCGCCTTTACGTCGCGTTGAGGGAGACTCTACACGCCGGCTGTTGAAACAGGCACAGCGAAGCATGTTACACGGTAACGCCTCTCGATCGCTTCCGCCCATGGGCATTTGTGTGTCGGTTGTACGACATTGTATTAGGAATTTTCCTTCAAAACTACCGTCCACCTCCGTGCTGTCAATTTGTCTTTTCCTGACAACCCCGTAGCATTTGTGCGCTTTTTAATACTAATGAAATTGTAAAGAACGGATGTGCATGCCTCAATTATAGCAACCGTGTTAGCGTTAATATGTCCTTCTTACTACTAATTAAATGTAAATTTCTGGAACAATCGGTGTGGAAGGTTCGGCGTGTAGCACATTTTAACCTCGAATCAGGAACACGAATCTCGAATTTACCAGAACTTTACATTAGAGTCAACAAAAATGCGTACCCACGGCCAGGAATCGAAGCCTGGCTTTCTGCGTGGAAGGCACGCGCGATAACCGTTAGGCC